GCTAGAACATTGGGGTGCAGGTGTCATCCTGAAGTAGATTTCCTTCTGGGTACAAGCCCAGGAGTGGGATTCCTGGGTCATATGGTAAGTCTATTCCTAGCTTTTGAGGAATCGCCACACTGTTTTCCATAGTGGCTGCACCAAACTGCATTCCCACCAGCAGTGTAGGAGGGTTCCCCTTTCTCCACAGCCTCTCCAGCATTTGTCATTTGTGGATTTTTGAATGATGGTCATTCTGACTGGTGTGAGGTGATACCTCATTGTAGTTTTGATTTGCATTTCTCTGATAATTAGTGATATTGATCATTTTTTCATGTGCTTTTTGATCATTTGTATGTCTTCCTTGGAGAGTTGCTTGTTTAGGTCTTCTGCCCATTTTTGGATTGGGTTGTTTATTGTTTTCTTATTGAGTCATATGAGCTGCTTATATATTTTGGAGATCAAGCCTTTGTCGGTTTCACTTGTAAAAATTTTCTCCCATTCCGTAGGTTTTCTTCTTGTTTTATTTCTGGTTTCCTTTGCTCTGCAGAAGCTTGTAAGTTTCATTAGGTCCCATTTGTTTATTCTTGCTTTTATTTCTTCTAGGAGAAAATTTTTGAAATGTACGTCAGATAATGTTTTGCCTATGTTTTCCTCTAGGAGGTTTATTGTATCTTGTCTTATGTTTAAGTCTTTAATCCATTTTGAGTTGATTTTTGTATATGGTGTAAGGGTGTGTCTCTGAACTATTTTCTAAAATTTTTTTAACTTTTTAAAAATTTTAACTTTTTATTTTTATTATTATTATTTTTTAATTGTACTGGGGATTGAACTCAGGACCTCATGCAAGCTAAGCATGTGCTCTACTACTGAGCCATACCCACACCCCCAGATGCCACTTTTAAAGAAATGGCACGGTCTGCATGGATTGTGGAGCTTATTTTTAAAACTCAGTATATGTCTTAGTGCTTTACTGTATATTATCTCCCAAGTGTGTTTTTGCTTATTTGACTATTTTAAATTTTTACCAAACTTATACATGCATGGAATTTTAAAAGGCAAAAGGTCCTACAAGACTTATAACAAAAAGCTGTGGTCTCTTAACACCACTTTCACAATCTCTAATTCTCTTTTCCTAGATGCCAAAATTTCAATGCTCAATTGGTTTTATCTTCTTATTTTTTAATAACAAGTTGTGTCAGCCAGGGTTGAGTGCAGGAAATGGCGATTACTCTAGGTATATTAAACAGGAAGGGATTTTACAAAGACTTTTAGGAGCTTTTGAAATCTTTTAGGAGGGCTGAAGGAGCAGGTTCTCGGCTGAGCCTTAGGGAATGATAGCAGAACAGTGCAGATCTATTAGGTGACCCTTTGATTGCTTGTCTGTAAATTTATCACAAATTTGTCATCAAATTCTCCTTCAACAGTGTGGTTTTCCTCTCCATTCAAATGCACAATAATTAATCAATTTGTCTTTTTCTTGGACGTAGCCTTCTGTAACCAGGTAAAGAAATTCTCTTTATTCCTGAGGTTTTGGCCCCAAATTCCTATTTCAATCTGGACCTGTTGATCCCTAGGTGTCCCACATAGCTGCCTCTTGGAATGTCCCTTTAGCATTTATATATACGTGTGTGTGTGTGTGTGTGTGTGTGTTTGTGTGTGCGTGTGTGTGTGTATGTATAAAATGATACTGCTTAACACCTGAAGGTGACAAGAAAAACTCTGGAATTTTCTTGACCCAAGGAGGGATAGGAAAGAAGACAGAGCTATTGGTTGTCATGGGCACTGTTTCCACAGCTGCATTGCCATTTTGACTGTCATTACATATAGTTTGATGGACTGTGCTGTGACAAAAATATAACTTTTTCTTGATTTGACAGTGATCTAGGCAGGACAGACAACAATAGCCCCACTTGATAAATGGACAAACTAAGGGTGAGAGAGATTATACACTCTATTAAGGGGCAGCACTGGATTAGGACCCAGGTTTTCTGGCTTTTTCTTTTCTGATGTCTGTTTTCACTCCGTTAACTCATTCACAGTCAAAAAATGACTGCCTTACAGTTAATGTGGCAAAAATCATCAGAAATCCTACAGTCACTAGAAGAAAAATCCCACAAAGTAGGACACCTGCTCACTACTGGAGCCTCAGTGCTGAAGTCAGTGCCTGTCCCAGAGCTGGCACTTAATGAATGTGTATAAAATGAATGAATGAACGGTGTAGCTGTTTATTTAGTGAGGGAGCAAAGCTCCAGAAATTTTAAGTGACTCATCAAAGGTCATTTGTCATATTTTATAAATTACAAGATGTGTAATAATTTTCACACTTAATATCTCTTAAATGGGGGTATATCTTACAATC